AACTTCTGATTTGTATTTATTAGTATCAACTTCCCCTTTCTTCCATTTGTTATACATTTATTATTATTAATTATTATTATTATTATTATAGTTGCCTTCACTTCCCTCTAAACCAGGTCTGTTTTTTAACCAGAACAGCCTTCTTCCTCAATTTTTGGATTGTTCCTTTTTGGGCATCTGGTAAGTTGTTCTTAAATGATTCTGAGTTATCATTTCACTGGCTCCAACTGAATTGTGCTTTTTTATACCTGTATTGAATTTGACGCTTAAAAGACTAAAGTTCACTATGTAGCTGCTTAACAGGTTTGACATGGGCACTGCACATTTCAGTGCTACCCCAGAGCAGAATGCCTCAATCTTTCTTGGGAGGGAAAAAAAATCTAGAAATGACAATGTAAATCCAGTCTTCTTGCACGTTAGTGTAAACGGCCAGTACAATGCCTATGACCCCATGCAAATTGAAACTAGATCAATTCAGACTGGGAATACGGCATACATTTTTAACTGTGCGGGTATTTAACCACCGAAACACCTTACCAAGAGTTGGAAAGGACTTTCCATCACTTTCAATTTTTAAATCAAGATTTGATGTTTTTCTGAAAGATATGCTGTAGTTCAAACAGAATTTGTTGGGGAAATTCTATGGCCTGTGTTATACAGAAGGTCAGACTAGATGACCACAGTGGTCTCTTCTGACATTAGAATCATTTTAATCTATGAACAACAAAATTTCCACTTAAATCCTGTGCTATGGATTTAACAGGGCACTGCCTTTGGCCTGGTGCATGGAAAACGGTAAAGTTTAATCCTGAGTCCTTGGCTTCTGGTGAGAATTTCAGCAATTGTTTCAGTTGTCACAACAGTTTTTGTGACATGGACATTGGTCCACTGGGAACTGGATTGAGACTGGATTAGTGGAGTGTACCTTTAAGAGAGCTGGCAATAGCACACACAAGGGAACGGAACTAGTTGGATCCATCTGTTGTGCAGACAGTGTGTGATCTCAGAAAAGTTGCAATAAAGGCTTGTATGCCTGAATCTTATGGGATGGGTCTCAGTGGTTCCACGTCTGATAAGAAACTGAGAATATTATATTGGGCATTAACTTATTTTTCACAGGCCACCAAATAGTTATCAGATGGGGGTGTCTAAAAACATTGCTGGGTTAAAAACACATGGCCTGGATATGGAAGTACCCAAATACATACAGTACTCAAAAAATAATGCATTTGATGGCACACAAGACTGAAAACATTAGAGTAACTGCATGTTGTTTTATTCACTCATGGTATGTGGACTTTAAATGAGCTTTTAAAAACAGTTATCCTTTTTGTGTTGCTATGAATTTATAATGTTGCTCCTTAACATTTATATTTGTCTATCCTAAATATGCAATATTTTATTAACATGGTAATAAATATTTAATCCGGCTTTGCTGTAACATTTTGTCAGAGCATCTTGTTAACCCATGATTCCCTAAGTTAGGAGCAGGAAAGAGTAATGCAATTCTGGACTAATTAACATAAATAATTTTCAAAGTAGGGATGCTGTAATGGCTATCTGCTCTGCCATTCACGATATCCTAGGTAGAATCTTAGGGGGAGGGATAGCTCAGTGGTTTGAGCATTGGCCTATTAAATCCAGGGTTATGAGCTCAATCCTTGAGGGGGCCACTTGGGGATTTGGGGCAAAATCAGTACTTGGTCCTGCTAGTGAAGGCAGGGGGCTGGACTCAATGACCTTTCAAGGTCCCTTCCAGTTCTAGGAGATGGGATATCTCCATTTATTATTATAATCTCATTTTTGATTTAACATGCCAAAATAGGTAGCTAGGACCAGGGAAAAGACACTATATTCAACCCTTGAATAGGGGAGTGTATCTTATATGTGTCCTAGGGGAGGTAGCATGGCTTGGTAAACTGAGCATTGGACTTGAGACCTGAGTTCTATTACTAGCACTGGCATACTGGGTGACCTTGGACAGCTTGCTGCCCTGCCATGTGCCTCAGTTTCCCCACCTGTAAAATAGGAATAATGATACTGATCCCTCTTAAAAGGTGTTTTGAGATCTGCTGATGAAAAGAGCTCTATAAGAGGTAGGTATAATTATGTTACAATATGATGTATTGCCAACTCCAAACGTTCAAAAACGACGAGTCAAGCTCCACTAAAAGTCATGAGATTGGTTTAAAGATAATGAGATTTATTTAAAAAAAATCACTTTGATTTTGTTTTATTTGCCTTCTGGTTCTGAGCCTTTATGGTCAACTCACTTCACATTTTCAACCATTTCCCTGCAACCTTTAGGGCTAGAAAGTTATTTTTTTCTTTTCAATGAAAGATGAGATCCTCATGCAATCTCTTTGACACTGATGAAACATCAAATATTATGGGCTGCTATAAAATCAGGAGATTTATCAACACAGCTGTGTCTAAGGAAGGGGTGACATTGATGGGATCTGAGACCCCATCCAGACTTTCTTAGCCAACAGATGTCACTCCAATATCAATTGGCCCAAGCAAACTCAGGCTAGTTCTGATGGTCTTCATGAGGGTTATGTACCATTTAAGCCCTTAAAATAAGACTTAAGTGTGACTTACATGTTGCTGGCCATTTGCACAGAGATCAATTTCACCCTCAGGAAACACCACCACCACAAAATGATATGAGTTAGTTGCTGGCTGCCTGAAATTAATTTTCTAAAACTTTTATTGGTGGGTAACATTCAGGCATAAAATAATCTAATGGGAGGATTCCATATAATGTAAAGAAGGATTGTTTGTCTCCTGCATCGTATTTAACGAGAGTTCGTGTTTGCAAGAAGCATCAGATATGAAATTGGGTACTGCAATTGATGTTACTTTGGGCTTGTCCACACTACTAAATTAAGTCGACTTAAGTTGCCATACAGTCACTGCAGTAATTAAAGTGGTGGTTCACGTCTACACTTGCTCCTTCTGTAGGTGGTGCGCCGGCTCACCTGGAGCGCTTCCACCGACTGAAGTGGGGCATTGTGGGACACTGACAGCTAGAGCCCAGCAGCCCTGGGGCTGACAGCTTCAGCTGTAAGCATGGGGCTGAGAGCTGCCTCCCCTCCCTGTCAGCCAGATGCAGGCTCACAGCTGGGCTCCCCCCACACCTTGGCTCTGACTCTCCAAGTTATCAGTGCCAGCAGCCCCAGCTGTGAGCCCAGTGCCCAGCTGACAACTCGGGCTGTCAGTGTTGGGGAGGGAGGAGCCTCATTCAGGGCTGACAGCCAATAGCCGATGTAAGTAACACAGTGTCTACCCAGACACTGTGTCCCCTAACTACATCAACATAAGTGCTATGCCTCTCATGGAGGTGGAGTTATTATGTTGGTGCAGAGGGCTACATACTTTGGTGGAAGCAGCACTGTAGTGTAGACATTGACATAATTAGGTAGCCATAAACTGCCTTATGTTGACCTAACTCTGTAATGTAGACCAAGCCTTTGTACAATTCTGGATTATTCATATAAGATGATGAGGTTTTGCTAGGAAAGGAGTGTATCAGAAGAGTCCATTACACATTCACCTTAAGGACTCTGCTTGGACCTCATTGTATTTTCTCTTCAACATTTAAAACAATTTCTCCCTCTGATGATACTTTCTTAATACTTTACTTAATAAGGCATGCTTAATCATGCTGGTTCCTTGAGATATCTCATGGAGCACCTGATTAAGAGTAGGAGTGGGCCATTGTATAACTGGGAGAATATGAGCAACAGTTGTGCTTAAGGGAGATATTTGGCCAGTGCCAAGGTATTACGTAGTATTCAACCAGATGCTAAATAGACATGACATTCTCATCATTCTCATCTCTGACATTTTAATAGAGAAGCTGCTCAATAAAGTTTTTGAAAAAGAAGAAACTGGGGTGTATTTCAATTAGCATAATGTTTAATGTTGTATTTTTCCATTATTTTATTTAAATATATATTAACGAAATGCCCACAGATTTTTCATTAGAACTCTCTGTTCCTCATTGCCCCAGCTGCAAAAGGGAGGTATTTTCCTACCTCACAAGCACAAGTTATTAATGTCTGGAAAGCCTATAAAGACCTTTATATTTATGAGGTACTTTGGCATCATTTCCTCCTATCCTCTCACCCTGTATAAGCTCTTCCTTTGACGTTACACAGGTTTAATAATCCATTTATACTGTGGTTCATGGTCTGGGGATCACCAAGAGGCAGCATTGGTTCTCCATTAACCCTACACATTTTTATGGGTAAATTAATACTGATTGGGCCAACTTTAACATAGCTAACATTCCATCTGCAAGGCTGACTCCCTCTTTAGAGAAGAGGAGTACTTGTGGCACCTTAGAGACTAAATAAATGTGTTAGTCTCTAAGGTGCCACAAGTACTCCTGTTCTTTTTGCGGGTACAGACTAACACGGCTGCTACTCTGAAACCTGTCTTTAGAGAAGAGCGGTGTTACAAGGGCAGTAGCTCACTTGGGGCGTGGAGGGTTGATGACCCATGCATGGATCTGTTGATTTTATCCTCCAAAACCCCTTGTTGTTCTGTGGGGCATGCAGACCCTGATGCTACATGAAACTCATATTTTTTGAAATTGTTCCCATGCATTAGTTTCACAAAGGGGATGAGTTGGCCAATAATTGTCCCCTGAGTAGCCCCAATTAAGACCAAGTTAAGACATTCACAAGCTATTTTTATCAACCTGTCTCAGCCTGCTACAAGATTGTTCCCTAGAGCATATCCCCTTGTCCTGTTTTATATTACTCTAGTGATTGGTGTCTACTAAGGCTGGGAAAACAGTCTGCAGAGAAAGGCACACAAAATGAATCGGGCTTTGTCTGTGCAATTGCAAATATCAGCCAAGTGCTTGGACCATTCATGACCAGGCTGCTGTTCGGGTTTCTGAATTCTGCCTACATTTCCCTCTGCTTTATTTCACCCCCCCATCTCTTCACTGTTTTCATTAGTAACCTCTCTCTTTTTCTCCTCCCCAGCAATGACTATGCAGTTCATAAGCCATCGGTTTCCTGATTATCATGATCCAACCATAGGTGAGTACAGATTGTTTTTTTCTTTATTCCATCCAATCTGGCTGCTTTATGAGATTTACTCTCAATCTGTACATACTGGGATCCCTTTTCTATACTGGGATCCCTTTTCTATACTCGGATTCCCCTTGCAATTAGCAAGATGGGAATGGCAGGGCAGTGGCAACCACCTAACAATGCTTTGTGAAGTGCCTGGGAGTTATAACTCTCATATTGACAATGATATTTGTTTGATAGTCATTTGGCTGTGTCAGGGTCATGTGATAGACAGTTGGTCCTGAAATAAGGAAGTGTCATGTTGATGTCGATGTATGAGGATTCAGCCAACACTATTGGTGAACACGTGTATGCGAGGTCATATTAATGCAAGAACCATAAACACTGCTACATGTAGGACAGACAGGATTGTCCATGACCACTGCAGGTTGTTGCATCCTGGCTTTGCAGTGTTCACCTTTTTCACATTAGGTCTTAATGTGCCAGATTTCAAAGTGGTTAATAGTGGCATGCCATATCTGCCACCATCTTGCTCTGTCACCAATGGCACCAAACAATGTTGCATGCTGGTTCCCACACTCTTTTCCATCTTTTTTTTTCACATATTTTGATGGACGCATTTCAGGACATTGACAGAGAAGTATTTATCCAGTTCTGCACTGATGGGAAGTTGTTCCCATCAGTTCCCATGCCCACATGAAAGATTTATTTAAATTATTTATTTATTAAGGCGCTTTTATTTGCTGATGACTGTGCACTCGTTGCTCACTCAGTTGGTAATGTTCAATTTATAACTGATCACGTCACTCATGCAGTCAATTGTTTTGGTTTCACAATCAGCCTGAAGAAAACTGAAGTATTGTACCAAACAGTATAAGGTGATGTACATCTTTACCTAATTATTAAGATCAGCAATGTTCGTCTTGTGTCTGTGGTGAAGTTTTGCTACCCGGGGAATTTGCTGTCACAGAATGCCACAATTGATGAAAACATTATCCATCATATAGTCAAGGCCAGCTCTGCATTTGTGATGCCAGTCCTGAAACACTGTGAAAGAAAACTCTTTTACCAATAGGTGAGTGAAGCCATGAAATCTAATTAATGCTTACTGTGTGTTAACAAGGGCAGAATTTGCTGGTGGAAAAGGCCCATTCAACATCCTGTATTATTCCATCAGGGAGAGAAAATGCTCAACCTCTATGTAAGGTCTTGCATCTGAAGAAGTGGGTTTTTTACCCATGAAAGCTTATGTCCAAATAAATCTGTTAGTCTTTAAGGTGCCACCGGACTCCTTGTTGTTTTCAACCTCTATGGATTGCTTTCCTATTTTCAAACCGTTTCTTATCACGATAAACATTGTTGCTGTTTTTATGAAAAAATAACTCTGAGTACTGGGTTTACTGCACTATAGATGCAGCATAGGGTCACACTCTCTTCTGGGTTAATTCTCTTGATGTCAATGGACTTATGTCAACAGAGAATTTGTCCTGTAATAAATAAAGGGTTGAAATTCATCCAGGAGAACACTTTCAAATCTATCATATTTAGAAACTTGCTTCTGTTTTAAAGATCATATTGTTAAGCCAGAATGGGAAGGGACTGAGCTGGAAAAGACGTCCAGGAGGACTTCTGGTTGTTTCCACTGGATTTCCTCTTGGGGCTCAGCGAATGCATGAACAGTAGGAGCGGATCTTGTTGAAAGAGTGCAACGCGGGTTCCCTTCTGCGTGAGGAGTTAAGAGCTGCACGTGAAGTGCTGCACACAGGGAAGCCATTTAGAGTGCATAGTGACAAGAAGTTTTACTGGACCTTCAAAATCCAGGATCTATGCTGCATAGTCTTGCATGCCAACTACTAGAATTTGAACTATTAATTGTTTATCGATATAAAGAATTCTCTCTTTTCTAGAGCACTCCTGTAACACCAGGCTAGTTTGAAGCAGGGTTGTACCAGGGCCACACCTTTGCCTCTTCCCTCCCCATATCTCTGTAAGAAAGCTAACTGAACAGGCAGTGCTGTCCAGGAGCAGTGCCTCCACTTCCTAGAAGGATTATACACAATGCAGCCCCATGTTTTCTGCTTATCATTACTTTTAATTGCTGTTTCCAGTCACTGTTACAAATGTTCTGACTCTCATTACCCATTGGTTATTACTGCTTGATTATGAAGAGGTTAGGCATTGTTATAGATCTTAGAGGTATCACCTTTAAAAGGAACAGTGAGTAATGAATGCAGATTTATCCCTTTGGACATCCACTGGACACATCCATCACCTCGGATTACCTTCGCTGGACATTCTGTACTGACAGATAGCTGAAAACATGTTTATCTGGCTATAAAGAAGAAAGCATGAAAGCAGAAGCTTGGAAGTGTCCACTGGGAGTACTTCATTCCTTTTATTTTTAACTCTTTCCAGATCACTTCATTTCTTTGCTCTCTGGATAAAGGCAATAGCTAATAGTTTCTTTTGTTGGACAAGGGTTAAGTTTTCTCCTGTGTTATCTGGGTGAATCCTAAATATAATTAATGAAAAGTTGAGTCTGTGAACCACACCCTACTAGGGTGAACAGGGATCTAGAAGGAAGTTAGGTCTTTCCTTGTTTGCAGAAATCAGTGAGCTCTCAAAATTTTTTGGTCTGAGATGGCAGAGCTGTTGCCATCAGATCGTGTCATGGGCTAAGAGCTCCCAGGTGTTGAGGTCAATTTTGCAAGATTGGAAGTTGGTCTTGAGAGAGAGTCTTTGTAATGTTTGCTTGGTCTGCCCCTAAACTGAGTTCCAGTCTGCAATTCTTTGTAAAAGACTCTTTTCGGTATTCTACTGTCAGACGTACAGACCACATGACTGCACCAGCTCAGTTGCACTCTTACTATGAAAGCTTCAGTGCCTGTGATCTTGAGGCATTCAAGGACCTTGGTGTTTAGAATTAAATCTTGCCATTTAATTGCCATTATCCACCATAGACAGTGTAGGTGGAATTGGTCCAAGCAATTTAGGTGGTGTTGATAAGTAATCCACATATTGCAGCCATAGAGGAAAGTGGTAATGACAATAGCACTGTAAATGTCAATTTTCGTTCGCAGTTTGACAGTGTATTCATTCCAGAGATGACACTGATGATTTCTGAAGGCCTCGCAGCCAACACCAATGAGCTTTGTAATGTTGTTGATTATTGCATCCCATGAAATGATACTGTCTAGGTCACAACATTTGTCACCATTTTGAGTGATACATCTTCGACGGACCCAACTGGAGTAGTTGCAGGACTTCTTGGTTGAGACTGGACCATGACTTCTGTTATCTTCGGGCTGATTGTTAAACCAAAATGTTTTGCTGCATCTGCAAAGCAGTCAATGAGCAACTGAATGTCCCTGAGGTTATGGGCCAATAAAGCACAATCACCAACTAACAGTAATTTATGAATAATTGTCTTCATAACTTTTGTCTTTGCGTGCAGGCAATAAGTCACCTCCATCCATACGGTATTGCATATATATGCCACAACCAATGTTTCTGAATTCCTCTATTAGAACATCAGCAAAACATGATGCTAAATAACACTGGAGGAAGAACACAGCCTTGTTTTACTCCACTGGTGACAACAAAGGCATCTGAGAAGCAACCTTGGTCAAGGACACCTAACTTGCAGATGTCTGTCCACAGGCCATCCCAATTTACAGCGTCAAAGGCCCTAGTAAGGTCAAAAGAAACGACATATAGGTCTTAATAATGCTCACAACATTTGTCCTGACTTTGCTGAAATAATAAACAATTAGTAAATGTTGATATTTTTATAGAGACCATTTATATATTTATAAATTATGCACCCAGCACAATATCTAGGACTTTAATGACCATTTAAAGAAAATCACGAAAAAAAGAACATGCATATCAGTTCTAAAGAGAACTTAACTACAATAAACAGACACATTAATATTCAAGATGAGTGCGTGTGTATGACTTATTGCTCTCAATGGCTATAATGGTTCTCTTCTCCCTGCCACCTTTCCCCCATTTCTGTCACCTACCACATGTTTAACTGTGTATTGTCTTGTCATAATCCTAGCTTGTGGGCCTCTAGGCACTACCATAATATGAAAAATAATTATCAATAAAGAGATAGAAGAGATTATTATGTATTATATGTATCAAGGTAGCACTTTGAGGTCCCAGTCAGAATCAAGAGCCCATTGTGCACAAACACATAAGAAGAGACAGTCGTTATCCTAAAGAGATTACAATCTATATAGATAAGACATAGAGTGGGAAGAAAAATAGAGGAACAGAAAAATAAAATAACTTTCTAACGGTTGCACAGCAAATCAATGGAAGACCTGGATATAGAACCAAGTACCCTAACTACTGGACCCCGCTGTCTCTCAAGACATGCTGAGAAATGCTCAGTTTCTATTCCTGCTATGGAATATGTACTAAATGGAAAACAAAATAGTGGCAACTTTATTGGCACATCAGGGACCTTGAACTCTCTTAGGACCAAGCTCCCCATTCAGCATATTCCAAACCAATTGGAACGTGTACAACTCACTAGTAAGTGGGGATTATAGGCCCCCTCTGTTTCTGATCCACAAAGAATATGAGTAGTTACAACCCCCTCCCCCAGCTACAGAGATTTGGCTTTTTAGTTCAAGCTGTAGCTGTTTATACCTTTAGCTGTGGATATCCCCAATTCAATCCCTGGTGTGCTAGCTAAGAGTGCAGTTGTCAACGGTGCAGCCAGAGACAAAATGAAAGAAATAATATATTGTCTGAATTGTAAGAGAATGCTAAAAAATTCCCATTAGGCTGTTCAGAAAACCAGCTACAGTTGTACTATGAACAATGGATAATATTAAAAGAGAGCAGCTCCTGAATTTAAAGGCTGACTAAACTGTTGGGTGCATTTGAGTGTTTAATTTGTCATTATATAGGCCAAGAAAGAAATTTACAAATAAGACAGCATGGGATTGTTAAGAGTACAGAAATGTAGCGACTGAAGAGACTAATTGAGA